TCCAGTTCCTCACACTTTGTTTTAATCTGGGTTGAATTGATGTCTATGTCTTTGTTGGGGAGATTTACCTTTTCCATTTGTGCTGATGTCCAATGTCCCAGGACTGAAAATGAAAGATAATCCAAAAGTTTGAGTTCTTATCAGAACATAAATAGAGGGAAATCCTCCAATGGGAAGACGTGTTCCATTGATTCCTTTGTATGAAGAGATTCTCCTTATTTTGGAGGGATTTCCTCTTATGTTTTCTTATATGTACTGGGCAAAATAGAAAGTAATTCTCCCTAGTTGGACACAAATGGGAAAAAACTGACAGTTTAAAAAGTGGTCTCAAAGCCTAAACATTTTTTAAAGCATAAAAAATGTTTAGGTTAAAATATTGCCCCCTCACCCTCTTATACTTTACTCGCTTGATTCAGTGCAGTGCCATTCTCCCCATTCTCATAGGTTTTGATTAGAGTGTCAGGAGCCATTGTTTCCCTCTGCTGTCAGTCAAATCCTGTAACGAGGGAGTGGGAAACTGAGGAAGGGCCGAGCTTTGCTGTCTGTGTCAATGGACACAGACAGCAGGGCTCGGGATCGAGCACACAATTGTGTCATGATAGGAAGTGGCACGCCTATGGTGGCACACCAAGAAGAGGAGGAGCCAAGAGCACTGGCAGGAGACCCAAGAAGAGGAGGATCGGGCCCTCTTTGTGTAATTCCATTGCACAGAGCAGATAAGTTTAAATCAGTTTACTGTTCAAAAAAAAAAAAAAAAAATAATGTTATCTGGAAACACCTGGGTTTGACTAAACTGTCCACTCTGGTCATCTCCTCTACTATGAAGCCTTTTTCAAACTCTACGGGACCAATTTCAGATCCCTAGTAGAGAACTATTTCGCTATTTACAGATCTCTCACTTTTTTGCCCCATATATACAAGCCTCCACCTCACTTAACAGCCTGACCCTTTTTGAAAGCATCTGTAACACTGATCCCCATGCCCCATGTATTATCTCACTATTATACTGTCATCTTACGACCACGTTTTCCTGTTTGCCCCCCTACACTATCTGCTGGTTAAATGACCTGAATATTACCTTGGAATTGGAAGATTGGGAAGATATCTGGGCCACGACTAATTCTTCTTCACAAATAATACTAGCTGTTGAAACTAACTATAAGGTCCTCCTGTGTTGGTATCTGGTCCCAGCGAGAATTGCTAAATTTATTCCTATTTACCCCTCTGCCTGCTTTCGTGGTTGCAGTGAACAGGGAACACATGTACACATTTTGTGGACTTGTCCGATCATGTAGCAATTCTGGTTTGATATCTTTAGAATTCTCTCCACCTTGTTTGATAAACCAATCTCTCCCTACCTTGCTTTTGCAGTGCTGAATCATTGCCATCCTGATCTCACAAAATCACAATCGAAACTTGCTATTCAAATCTTGACAGCCACGAAGCAGACCAAAGCAAAGGCCTGGAAATCCCCATCACTCTGTTCTATAGAAATCAAAAATAGGATCAAAATAAAGCAGGGTGCAGCGCTAAAATGATCCGCTAAATCGTATAAACATATTATGTTCAAACATCCTCATATAAAATGCAATATAATAGAAAATCACATAAAATCGGTGACAAAGTGCAAATAGAAATGTCACTAATTGGTGACTGATAGGTGTTGGACACTAAAACCAAATACAGTCTATAGTGTGAGTGCAAAAATCCAGTGGCTGGATCCGTGGATGAGGTGATAAAATATGTAAAGATTGCGCACTCACCAGATACACAATCACAATGTGCATTAGAATGGGTAACCTCAGGACATAAAAGATCCTTATGTAGGTGTGACAGGAGTGACTTTTGGGGGTGGGGGGACCTCTGTATCATCTTTCCAAATTCCCATTATGTTAAGGGGTACAGGGTGTGTATGTGAATGTCTGAGTCTTGTGTACAGTGTGTGTTCCTTTGTTCTCGGCCACATGGCTGTCCATTGTTTGTTTGCCATGTGCTACCCCCCATTGTGCTGTGTCTTCCTGTCCAGCCAACTATTATGGGATGTACTGTTTGTGTATTGGTGTGGGGGTTGGTCAATGTCCTTTGCCATGTGTTTCATCCCATTGTTCTGTGTCTTGGTGGGATGGGGAGGGGTGATGATGTATTTCCTGTTCCTGGTTGTGTTTCCCCGCCCTCTGTATATATCCTGTGTTTTGTGTTAAAATAAAAAGAGTTGGCTTCCTGTATTAAGAAGAGCTGGGTGCTGTCTTTTTCCTGAGGGATTTCAAGGGTGTGGTCCATGGATGGTGTTCGGACAGGGGAAGCTGTGGTATAACAGAAAAACTCAGTGCGGTCTGGGTTCCAGTTCCGTTACATTGGTGGCAAGCGGTGGGATTGTGCTTCCAGCTGTAAACACATCCAAACCACCACCGGGATTCAAGAGCAGGAAAAGACGTCAGTCACCCCAGTGGAGCTATGGACCTGGCATCAGAGTTCCCAGGGCTGCTGCAGATTGTCCTTGCAACATACCCCAGGACTGTGTCTACGGATCAGTACCTGGAGCTCAGGCAGCAGATTTGGGAGGTGCTTTGGAGAGGAGCGGTCCAGGCTGCTGGTATGGACAAAGGCAAGTGCTACCCAACCCCAGGGGAACAGGCCAGGGACAATCGGAAGTCACGGATGCCATTCCTAGGAGAGCAACCCCAGGAGCAATGGGTGGCTGAGTTGGACAGACTGGTCCAGCAGGAGATAGAACTGGACAATAGATATCGGGCTCTGCGGTGGTACGCAGAGCAGGAATATTTAGGGGTGTCAACAGAGTGCTCTCCTGAGGGACTTGACTTTGGTGGGCCTGGATTGCTGTGGGAGAGCCTTACAGATCTTTTTGTGTTTGGCGATAGAGGAGAACCTACTCTGAAGGAGTTACGAGAAGGCAGAGAGGCTATGTTCAGTCTCACAGGGGTCTCAGAACTTAAACCAGATCTGGAATACCTGCTGAAGAAAGAACTGGATCTAGAAAGGGCATACAGGCAACTGCTAGGACATGTTCAGCAGCATGCCCAAGAATCAGCAGTGGAAATTCCAGAGACTGGGGATCTGATAGACCTCTCGGCTGAGGAGGAACCAGCAGTAGACCTGGCAACAGGGCCAAACAGTACTGAACTCTGCCCAGCACTGGTAATGTCTCCTGAGTTCCACGGACAGGAGATGGTGACCCCCGATCCCCAAACACCAATTCCAGAGACCAGGGATCTGATACACTTCTTGGCTGAGGAGGAACCAGCAGTAGACCTGGCAACAGGGCCAAATGGTACTGACCTCTGCCCCACACCTGTGGTAGTTTCAGAGGCCCAGGGTGAGAAGGGAGAGGAGATTGTTGTACTCTCTCTCCCCCACAGTCAGCCAGAGTGGAGGAAACTGTTTTCCCTCCCAAGCCAGGATCTGTGCACCAGGGGGACAGTGACAGCGGAATTCCATCCCATCAGCAGATCCACAGTCTGGGAGGGGAGGAAGCCAGCCTCCCTCCCCTACAGTTAGCCGGAGCAGATGTGGGGTCCCCAGCAGAAGTGCTGGCAACAGGGCAGAGCGCCGCTGGCCTCTGCCTAGCAACTACAGCCACCACCTGGATACCCCAGGGATGCTGGGCAGTCAGCCCAGATCCCCCACAGAAGGATGAAGGTGGTGGCCCAGCCACCCTGTCTTCTCCCCAGCGGCTGAGAGAATTTCTGTGAGAAGGACCAGTCTGTACTTCTCCCCAGCGGCAGGTATGTTTCTATGGGAGAGGCAGAGGTTGGCTGGGTGAGTAACGCTTGGTGTGGGACAATTTGCATGGGGTACTGTGTGGGTGCCGGCATTGAGGGACTGGAAGTACCGACTAACTTCAGAGTACATCCATCTGGGATTTACTCCTGCTTTAGTCTCCTGCCGAAAGGGGAGATATGTGACAGGAGTGACTTTTGGGGGTGGGGGGACCTCTGTATCATCTTCCCAAATTCCCATTATGTTTAAGGCATCCTGTGCCTGTTAAGGGGTACAGGGTGTGTATGTGAATGTCTGAGTCTTGTGTACAGTGTGTGTTCCTTTGTTCTTGGCCACATGGCTGTCCATTGTTTGTTTGCCATGTGCTACCCCCCATTGTGCTGTGTCTTCCTGTCCAGCCAACTATTATGGGATGTACTGTTTGTGTATTGGTGTGGGGGTTGGTCAATGTCCTTTGCCATGTGTTTCATCCCATTGTTCTGTGTCTTGGTGGGATGGGGAGGGGTGATGATGTATTTCCTGTTCCTGGTTGTGTTTCCCCGCCCTCTGTATATATCCTGTGTTTTGTGTTAAAATAAAAAGAGTTGGCTTCCTGTTTTAAGAAGAGCTGGTTGCTGTCTTTTTCCTGAGGGATTTCAAGGATGTGGTCCGTGGATGGTGTTCGGACAGGGGAAGCTGTGGTATACTGGGAAAAACTCAGTGCGGTCTGGGTTCCGGTTCCGTTACAGTAGGTCTGGTCAGATCTGGTCAGATACCCCTCACTGCTTGGTAGTGCTGCCACACTTGGAAATAGCCGCTCCCAAGCTATTATTTCCTTTGTGAAATTGCAAGGTCTTCTTCTTAGATGGACCCCACCTGTATGAGGTCCAGGTTGGCCAGAGGATAGGATCACTGAATAGGATCACTCAGGCAAGATCCACAGTAAATTGAGGTGACCATTTTAGATAAAATCCTATGACATCGGAAAATCTGGCAATGGATTGGGTGGATCACTTCCTGCCCACACTAATAGAACCCTAGCTCTATGTCAGCAGTCCCAAACATTTTTTTGAATAATTTCCAGCTTTCAGCGCTGTCACACTTTGAATGACAATTGCGCGGTCATGCAACACTGTACTCATATGAAATTTTTATCATTTTTTTGAGACAGATAGAGCTTTATTTTGTTGGTATTTATCAACTCTGGGTTTTTTATTTTTTCTTAAACAAACCAAAAACCACTGATAGGCGGCACTGACTGGCACTGATAGGTGGCACTGACTGGCACTGTTAGGTGGCACTGACTGGCACTGTTAGGCGGCACTGACGGGCACTGATAGATGGCACTGATGCACACTGATAGGAGGCACTGCTAGGTGGCATTGATTGGCATTGATAGGTGGCACTGACTGGCAATGATGGGTGACACTGAATGGCAGCTCAGATGGGCACTGATATGTGGCATTGATGTGCACTGGTAGGCACTGACATGTGGCATTGATATGGCACTGATGGGCACTGGCACGTGGCACTGATGAGAACTGACAGCTGGAACTGATGGACATTGACAGGTGGCATTGCTGGGGCTACACTGATCATCAGTGCTCTGATGATCAGTGTAGATGTCCCCTCCGCAGAATACCGATTACCGGCTCTCCTCTGTCAGCGTGACAGCTCGTGAGGAGAGAAATGCCGATAACTGGCATTTCCCTGTTTACATGTGATTTGCTGTGATTGGACATAGCTGATCACATGACCGAGCCAACATCTTCGGCTCTTTCCATGGATCAGTAATCCGCTGTGTCAGAGGGACACAGCGCACCGCTAATCGCCATGCTGCACGCTCCCTGAGCCGCGAATGCGCGGTGAGAATGGGAGGACGTCATATGACATCCTCCCAGAACGAGAGAACCACCTTGCGCCTGTCATTGGACTATATGGCGGGCGGGAGGTGGTTAAACAAGAAAAAAAAGTAAAAGTTTAGACTTTAAATCTTCTTCAACTATATCCTACTCTTTCCAAAACTAACCAAACAAACGATCTTATCTTCACCTCTTGGCTTTTATCACCATGCAGCAGTTGGTCTCACAGATAGGCTGAATTTATTTATTAAAAATCATGGATGCAGTTTACGAATTTTGGCTTACAAAGCCTTACTCATAACAAATCTGCTTTCAATAGAAATCTAATTTATAAGCTTGGTCACTTCAGGAATGAGTGTTGAATTCCAAAACAACCTCAGTTGTATGTAATTAGCTTTCATCCTGTGAGACTCAGCAGCCTATATTACTAAAAGAGATCCCATGCAAAAGATAAACATTTAGACATATCTTACATAATAGCTACACAAATGGAATACCTATCACTGCAACTGTTATTTTGAAAAATGGATAGGTAGGGGGCGGGACCTGATCGCTGTCCTTAGATGGCCGTGCATGAAGGGGGATAAACTACTCCTGTTTTGAGAGCCATGAACACCGGCTGACTATGGGTAAGATCGGGCGGAGTGCCTAGATCCCCTGGGAACAGAGTGACCCTGGTACGCAACTTTCCCGGCATATCCCAGAACTCTTCCGCTCACAGACTTCGGGCAGCCATGTGGCCTACCAGACTGGAACCTCCCGCTTCCCGAGTAGCTGTTTGGACTTGTCAGCCACTGGTGGTGACACTTTCCAGGCCACCTACACTTCCTCTACTAAATGTGTGAACCTCCTTGATCTCCAGAAAGTGGCCTCTGACATCAAGAACACAGTCACTACCTTAGAGCTTAGAGCAGACATACAAGCTATGGCTTCCAGGTTGGATGAAATTGAGCAGGCCTCCCATCTTCACACAGATGCTATCAGACAAGCTCAAGTGTCACCTATCAGACAAGTGTAACTATCATGTCCACCTACTCCATCTTTTGGACATGCATAGACACATTGAATATTTCGACAATAGGGGCAGGCGCCATAACATTGGAGTGTGGGGTATTTCAGAAACCTTGCAGCCTGCCCTGTGCACAATTTTTAATGATTTAATGGGCTATCCACCAGATACTCCTATAGTACTGGAAAGGGCTCACAGAGCCCTGAGACCATGGCTCCGAGACTCAGAACCCCTGCGGATGTTATATGCTGTTTGGTTAACTTTCTGTTCAAGGAATAAATCATGCGTAAAGCCAGAGAAAGGAACCGCACATTACATACAATGACTCTGAAATAAATTATTTTCAGGATCTATCACAACTCACATGGCAAAATCGTAGAGCTTTGCGACTTCTGCTGGATGTTCTTATTAGGATGTGAGGCATCACATATAGATAGAAGTTTCCTTTTTGTCTGTCTGCAACCTCTAGGGTGCATACTATTCTTCTCCGCACCCCTGAAGATCTCCTTGCTTTTTGCACTGAACTTGATATCCCCCCAATGAAACTTCCCGAATGGTATGCATTTTACTTCCCTTTGGAACCATGGAATACAGTATCCAGTAATCCCTCACCTAAAGCGCAAAGGTCACGCACTCATCGCTGATGTCTAGACCTTACCTCACCGACCCCTCGTCCTCCTCGCAGGGATCAGACAGATGCAGTCCAGGTTTTTCACCTATTCACCGGAAAGCCTGACTTTGCGGATCTCCTTCCTGATCTGGCACAGCTATGTGCTGCATGTATTGTTAATTCGGCATTTCTACTGGTGTGCCTGTAGCTAAGGAGAGTGCCTTGCACCTGTATGTTAGATCTCATGTTACTCTGAGCACTGTAGAGATACTTTGTGCTGATTTATTTACACCTGTCCTATTTAGGATTGTGGAGTATTTGCCTGTAATATAAAACAACCAATCATTTCTAGGGCGGAAATCTCAATGCCAACATGGATGTGTTGCCAGTGACTATTACTCCCTTGCAGGGTTAGTTTTGCATGTTTTCATGTTCTGAACATTAGGTAATGGCTATACAATGGCTTGCTTGCAGTACCTTGTACTCTTGTACTTGTGTACCTTAATGACTAGGCATACAGAAGTAGTGGTCTGGACGCACAACAGAGTTTGGCTTGCAGATCCATTCACCCTTGAGCATGGTCACAACTTGCTTGAGTTTTGTTCATTGCAGTGGGTTGATGGCTTATTCATAATGCTGGAGCTGTCTTATTGCATTTCCCATCATTGGCCGCCATCCCTTGCATTATGCACCCCAGTGACATGCTGCAGAGGGAATGGATCCTAATAGGTGCAAGTCCAGTAGCATACATTGCTATTTACATCAAGGGTTGATGACATTTGGGTCGTTCAGCCCCTGAGGAATCTAGCACTGTGAAACAAATCTAGAATGTTTGTCATTGTTGATTTAACTGTTACCGCATGATGTTCTGTGTTTGTACTAATGAAAGGGCGAAGTGAGACTTGATCTCGCCTAGCGGTGCTCGCTCAGGTTCTTGCGGAGCGCGTCTGTTCGTAGATCATGCTTCCATATTGCAGGTGGGCCAGCTTCAGCTGCTACTTGCCCTATCACCTGCAATTCAAGAGTTTTCTTTTTTTTTCCTCTCTGAAAGCATTTAAGTTCCTCTTTTACATGGATCTTTTGCTACAGTATTCAGGATATGACTTGTTTGCAGGGAACACCATTAGATTTGCTTCATGCATTATGTGGACTCTCATGCTACTACAATCTATATCCCCCACTTGCGCAGCCTCTATTCAGGCATAGTCTTTCCTCAACCCCCCTCCAGTAAACCCCTGTGGTGATTGCTGACTGTCCAGAACTCTTTTCCCTTTTACGAAACTCTTTTCCTCGAGGACGTCAAGTGACGAAATGCATAGGGTGGAGCTTTGGAGTGACGTCACCACAGCCAGTGAGCTGTCGGTGTCAGCTGACACCGAAGTGGGCTTTTTTGAATTTGTGCTGTATACACTGTTCAAGCTAGTGTTGGCTTTGACACTAAGGAATGTGAGTGTAATTTATTAACTGTTTTATGAATAAAATTGCCATACAATTTTACACTATTAGTTCCCTCTCTCTTCCTTAATGAGTGTGTTTGATGTCAAGAAGATATTAATGCGCATTGAATCACCTCCCAATTGCCGGCCATCAATCTGCAGATCGTTGCTCCCAGAGCGAAAGCATGTGTGCTGGTTTATAATTTGAGCAGCATGTTGCTCTGGTGAGTTTATTTAATTCATCTGGTAGTGGTTTTTTCAAATTTATTTTTGTGTATTTCAAGAATTAATAGTTTGGAGCACTGAAGTTTAAGACAACCCTTTAACACATTGAAATCTGATTGATGTAAAAAGTTTTTTTCACGTATTTTTTTTATATCTAAGGACACTGTTATTGGACATTTTTTTTGATGCTTGATATTGATTTTTTAGAGTATATATTTTTCTTATTATGATACTGGATAATTCATTTGCAATTACAATCATATTTTTGGATTTTGACAATTTTTTCACTTTTTTTCTTTTTTTAGTTAAGTAATATTTTTTTTTCTTTTTATGTTCTAATGATTTTTTTTGTTATTATTGATTACTTGGTTAGAGCGCTACCTTTTTTCAATCTTTGTCACTTTTTACCTTGTTTGAGGGCGAGGTTTTAGCTGCTCTTTTATTTATAGATTTATTATATTTTTTTAATTAGGTGTTTTTCTAGTGGTGCTATCATACCCTAAACTAACTATTTTATAGAAATGATGAGATAGTACACCAATTTGAATGCTACTATAAGAATCTTTACAATTTACGCTCGGAAGAACATATTGCTCCCATTTCCCATTCCCACCAGATTGGACGGTTTCTGGCTGAATATGGCCTAAAAGCTATCTCCCGGCAGGTGGCTTGTGACCTTGAACACAACCTTTCTATAGAAGAACTCATAACTTCCTTGAAACAGTTGAAACCAGGAAAAGAGCCCAGATTCAGATGGCCTGATGCTACAATACTACAAATGCTTCCAAGAAGTAATAGCACCCAGACTGCTGGAGCTGTTTAATTCTCTAGCAGACTCTGCCCCCTTTCCTAAAGCTTTTTGGAGGCACATATTATGGTAATCCCTAAGGAAGGCAAGGATGCGTTAAGAGATGAAAGCTATAGACCAATATCACTTCTAAATGTAGATTTAAAGCTGTATGCAAAAATGTTAGCAAACGGACTACTTCGATTGTTGCCATCTTTGGTGGGGTGAGACCAGGTGGGCTTTATTCCAGGAAGGGAGGCTCGTAATAACACTATTAAAGTGCTCACCCTTCACCATTGGCTTACATCTAGCAAGACCCAGGTTTTTTTTCTGTCCCTTGATGCTGAAAAGGCATTTGATAGGGTAGCCTGGCCGTACATGCAGGAAGTTCTCCGAGTTACTCCCTAGGATGATGACCAATATTTTAGCATTATACTCCAACCCAACCGCTCATGTTCAGGCCAATGGGAACCTGTCAGAGGCCTTTTCTATAACCAATGGTACCTGACAAGGTTGTCCTCTATCCCCCCTCATTTTTGTTTTAATGCTAGAGCCCTTTTTGAATAGAATTTGTTTGCATCAGGATATAAAGGGCCTTCCTGTGGGAGGTAGCGAATACAAGGTGGCTGCTTTTGCTGATGATCTCATGCTGTTCTTGCAATCACCCCAACTATCTTTGCCTGTATTGCTTCATCAATTGGATTGTTTTTTTTTGTTAATTAAATTTTTATTGAGGAAAGTAAGTCATGTTTAACATATTAGACATATTTGACATGTTTGACATGGAGAAGAAAAAAACTTTGTATGCTACACAATAGCTTAGTTCAGCATGCATTTGGTACAATGATTATCTTGCACAGAAGAAGAAATATATTTTGTAGGTGTTTAGCAAAA